CCGCGCAGTCAGCATGCGTGTCTGCAGAGGAGAATGAAGCACAAATCCACTGCCCCGAAGATGAGACCATGAAATGGCAAGTGACACGAAGAGCAGTGGATAGAGCGATGTACAAGGCAATCGCACGGATCTATGCACACACAGCAAAAGGACTCGATGGCATAACCGCCGGTGTTATAAAACACCTGGGGGATGCTGCCCGAGATCACCTTGCAAACATCTTCTCTGGCATCGTGGCGGGTGACACAGTCCCTACAGCCTGGCAAACAGCAAGGATGTGCCTGGTGAGAAAGACAGGTGGAGACGCTGGGCTTCTACAAGATTACAGGCCTTTTACTGTAACAAGCGTCATATACCGAGCCTTTTCACAGATATTGAAGGCCTGGATGAGTGGGTGGGCAGAGAACATGCTCACAGACTTGCAGAACGGGTTCCGAGCTGACCGATGCCTGGAAGACAACCTCTTCGTGCTGATACAAACCATAGCAATGGCTCGCAAGGAGTCAAGACGTAGCTAAGGCATATGATAGTGCCCCACATGAATCCCTATTCCAGCGGATGGCGGAATGTCAGAGGTGTGCGTCAGCCTAATGCGTCGATTGTACAAAGATAATTCAGTTACAGCGTGCTTTGACAGAGCCCAGTCCCGACCAGTAATGGTATCAGGGGGACTTAAGCAGGGCTGCCCCCTCTCACCCCTGCTATACATGATTTATGTTTCTGGACTGGAACATATGCTCCTAGCATCCGGTATCGGCTTCTCATTCACCCACCAGTGGGATGAAATGCCCGTGACTTATAAGCTGCCGGGTTTAGTGTATGCTGACGACCTGGTCCTGCTAGCCGAAAGCACAACGGACCTGCAACAACTGGTCACCCTCGCTGCGACCCGTCTATACCACCTGGACCTGGCCTTCAATGCAAAAAAGTCTGCTGCATTACAGTTGTCAGGCTCCCACCCTAATGCCGACATATACCTGCCAAGAGGAGATCAGATACAGTGGGCCACTGAATATCGGTACCTAGGGGTAGTATTGAGCACCTGCGGTGACTTGTTGGGGCACATGAAATAAATCTGCGCAAGATTTCGCAAACGTGCTGCGCCGAAAAAGCCTATGGGGATGCAACCGTTTGCTCCTCATCCGAGACTTGTGGAAGGCTGTTCATGTCCCAGGCCTCACATTTGCCAATGCCATACTATGCCTCACTGTGACAACCAGGTAATAGCTGGAGCGTGGCAAGCGGGAGGTGGGCCGTATGGCCCTTGGATGCCATGGGCGTGTCGCCATAGAGGCCATTCAGGGTGACCTGGGATGGTCCTCATTTGAAGCCCACGAAACAAGAAGTAAGGCTACCTAGGAAAGATGCCTGCGACTCATGGACGACGAACGGTGGCCCAGGCAACTGTTCAGATATGCGAGTCTAACCGGCACACAAACGCAGTGGTGCAGGCACCTGGGCAGCCTGAAAAGAAAGTTTGGCTTCTCTGCAAACCCTGTGATTGAGGACAAGATGTACAAGTGGGCCCATGCAGTGAAGACGCAGGTGTGTGAGGAGGAGACAGAGCAGTGGCGATGTGCCATGGAGGATAAATCCACACTGCTCACATATCGCACTCACAAAGCCGACATTGGCATGGAACCCCTTTATGATAACAGCGGTGGCAGCGCACTCCTTTTTGAGGCACGTGCAGGAGTGCTGCATACGTTGGCATACCGTCACAGGTTCGACACATCTGCATACGTGGCACGGGCCATATGCCGAATATGCGGCACTGGAGAGGAGACCACAGAACACATCGTCCTCCGCTGCACTGACTTGTGCCCGGGTCACCTAGAGGGCACCATCTTCCCGCTGGCACTGGGATTCCGAGGAGATACGGAGAAGAGCACAGCAGTGGCCAGAACAGTCTACACTACGTGACAAAATAGAGATTGCTGCAGTGGTGGCGCAGAACGCATAGACAGTGCCGACGCGCAGACAATGTAGACGTTTAGACAATGTAGCCGGTCTGCGAAGAGACACTGGCTGGCTGTTGCAAACGTGATAACTCGTTTTGTGTGTGTGTATGTGTGCGTGTATGTGTGTGTGACACATTTTGTTTTTCTCTGTCTCTCTTTTCTCTAAGTCTCCCTTTTTTTCTTTCTTTACTTTTTTCTCTGGTTAAGGCAGCTGAGAGCTGCCTACCCATTACAAAGGGCAGAACCACAATCCATCATCATCGTAGAGAGTGTGGTCAGCGAGGAGGCACTGGTGTGGCTAGTGCGGCATGCCGGGCGAGTTGCATTGAACGAAAAACTGGACCTCATGTGACAGCCTCTTACTGCAATGCAACAGAGACGCACAAAACAGAAAAATGACAGTGGTTATTGCAGCATACAGTGGCGAGGGCGAGTGAATGTCACGCCAAAAATAAGTGTCGTTCCATCATGGCGGCACCCAAGCGGTTATAGGTTTTAATACATGGACCCTATGTGAAGCTTTTCCTCTGGTCAGTATATTAACTCTATGAAATGTGTACTGCAATCCGATACTAATCGAAAACAATCACAGCTTTTTTTGAGATGCGGTACGGTCGCAGGGAGCCGATCGTCGGCTGGCCAGTTGCATGCACCGCTTCACCTACTTAGCGTACACACCGGGCAAAGCCGCTTGCGCTCACTCGGCTTACGTCTTGTCAGCACAATCGGTAGTGCAAAGCAAAACCGTTCGCACTACTGACTGTGCTGACATGACGTTCTCTTGCCATGCCATTCACTTTTTCCTTCTATCCTCTCTTCTTCCTATCATCTTTACGTCCCCCTTCCCCTCATCCCTAAAGGCGTGAGCCGTGCCCTTGCAACGAGGCAGAAAATAGCTTCCTGTTTATCTCTTCCTCTATAATTAACCCCTCTCTCTTTTTCCACGTGCAGATGCGGTGAGAAAGTTACCATAACGCGATGTGAGCTTTCTGAAAGCAATGCTCTAGCGGTTCTGGCAGCAGAATGAGGCGCGTTTGGGTTGTCAAAGCGTGCGGTGTAGTTATGACAGTTGCTGCCTCGGTGCCCGTGTCGACAACTGCAACAGCGAGCTACTTTCATTTCTGCAAAGCGGTGCACGCTGACCCGTACAACGATCGAGGCGGCAGCGATAGGTGCCCCTGCACACCCAGGTAGTCGTGCAGTGCGTTTAAAGCAGCGGTACACTACACAAGAGGATTTTTATTGGAAACGCCACACTGATGCGCTTATCAGTCGTCGCCACATAGCCTTTGTTTTTTTGTTACTAGAAAAGGCACTGCCGCAATGGCGCGGCCGAGGGAATAATTGACCGGCCGATTCCGTGCTCTTGCAGCTGCACAACTGTACGCAAACGCAGCAGTGCGAGCGTACAGAATGGCCACCAGCACGTAATATGCACTTATATAGATGCTGTAATTACTTTCGCTTCCAAAACTACCTTGTGAGTCGTGATGCAGCAATAGCGCACATCAGACAAAAAAGAAACTTTGGAGCAGTATGGCACAGTGATTTCTAGCTGGAGCTGGTTGGCGCAGGTTAGAGTTACTGTAAATGCTCCCTAAGGTGGCATGATTGCGCATAGATCCACCATTATATGTGTTCGACGGCTGTGCGGTGAAGCCACTCTGCAGGAGATAGGCTAATACGATGCAACGTTTCGGCGCGGAAGGCGTGCCGCAGACTTATTCGCACGCGCTGAGCAATATTGCACTATTGCAGTAAGGCTGTATATTGCTATAGGTTCTATCGAATGACGTCTGCGAACAAAACGACACAATGAACAGTTTTGCAGCGACGGGCCGACTCCACAATCAGAGATGCATGCTACAATCGAACACCTCAAAAGTTAACTTTTCTGCGCTGAAATTTGAAACTAAAGGCAAAAAAAATAGTTTTGAAGGGCATTTGAAGAAAATTAACGCACGCATGGTTGACAATCGGAATGGATTTTGGCCGCCGATGCCAGCTCTTCGGCGGCTGTTGACAAAGTATCATTGCGCGTGCGGTTACGCTGGCGGCCACTGACAAACCGTAATTTGTCATTAACCATCATTTGCAACTGATTCACTGTTCGAAAAAGTGGAGCAAAAGATTACCTTCAAACTCATTTCAAATGTTCACATGAACCACGCATTTTGTGCTGTGCACAATCGAATAATCAAGGTCAAAGCCTTATACGTCTTTTGGAACACGACAAGAGACCGTCTTTTGGCGACATTAGTGCTGCGAATACTCGGTTTGCATCATATAATACACCAAATATCAATTCAAGCATGCCTCACTGCATTAAAATGGTGCTGAATGAATTAATAAAACTAAAAATACAAATTAAAGCAACTTAACAAGAATAAAACAACTAGAAAACAACGCACGTAAGCTTAGTGTATAAGGCAAACCGAAGTTATTAAGGGCAAATCAAGCATGAAAGAAGTGAACCCAGAACAAAAGTAAAACGTCACAGCGAATCTTCATGAAAATGCACACTGGCTTTTGCCATCAAGTCATGTTGTTAGCTTGACTTGATGCTAACAAACACAAGAGGTTTTCAAAGAAATTTTATTTATACAATGGTATAAATAGTATGGAGGTCAAACAGCTACTGTCAAATAGTCGCCTTAAGCACAAAACCCTGCAGAGTTCTTCAGGCTCTCTCAATTGCTCAAGTAATGCTCGCTATGACCCATGATTGCATTCAAAAAGATAGTTAACTTCCATGCCACTTTTTCCTCGGCTCATAAGCTGTGCATTGCAGATACATATACATGTGAGCCGTACAAAGAGAAAAAAAAAAAGGTAAAACTTCCCGACTTTTCACATGTGGGCTGAAAATTCAGCAGTTACCACACATAACTCTTATAATATAGCCATGAAAATGTTGTCTAGAATAGTGACAAATAAAGCTGTAGCACTCCTCTCTAAACTTGAAATGAATGACTGAACATCGTGATACAGATGTTTGTATTTTCAAAAAACCATCAAGTTTCCAAATAAGACCACCTCTTAGAATCTGTCACAGTGCTGTTTATTGAAACCTACTCGGCAAATGGATTAGCATGAATAGTTACAGAGTTTAACTTGATATCTCGAAGAGGCCGATACTTTGGGTTCACCGGCACCTTTTCGAGTTCTTCCAGGGTGTCCAAGCCGTCAATGACCCTGCAAAGAAAATATGCCATTAAAAATTATTAGAAAGCTGGAAACAACTTAATGTAGTACACCATTCATGGAAATCTCTTTCAAATTGCATATTCCCAATTTTCCTATTGTGAAAAAACGTGCTTATTCCAAACGTTGACAGAAGATGCGCACTTGCTTTTTTTTTTTTTTTTTTTCATTATTGGAAGCTGTTGACCCAGTACATGTGCTTTGGAGTGTCCATTCCGTCAAGGTGCTACAAATTGTTAAGTAGCTTATCACGAATTTATATCAAAAGCGCTTGCAGTGGATGAAGTAGGGAGAGAGACGTGAGCCATCGGTAACACGGCAAACCCATTTTAATAACAATAAAAATGGCAAACAGTAACCTGACACTCAGAATTCACTCTCCAAAAGAAACATGTACAGAATAATCGGCTATACAACGATACCGTTAACTAACACTGATCCAAGTCAGGTTCAGTCCTAAGCCTTAATCTCTCCCTAGGCACTATGGCGTTTCGGTGGCTACTCTCATGCCCTCCCGCTATAGTAGAACATTCTTACTGTTTCTATGCCACTTATGGAGCTACGACGAAGTGGGTACCGTCCTGAAAGACGCCACTAAACAAGCTCCTGATTTTCATTGCCAGTGTCCCAGTCTTATCCATCATCTTCTGTCCACTTCCTCGTCCATGGCCTCATTTACAACACTCTCCAATGACTGGTGTGGGAATAGAGTTAATATACATGGGACACATCCATTTTGGCTCGAAGTGGAACAGCTGTAGTCCCCCAGTAACTGCTGTGCAAGGTTGCAGCTAGTCCGGGCAGTCTCCCTCATGTCTTGCGAGATCAACAGCTACTTCCTGGGCTTCTTCAACGACATCCTTCAGAAACGGACGGCTGTACTGCTTCCGCCGTTGTAGCCAGGCTGACCTTTTTGACCTTCGCAGTTCGAAGCTCCACAGCACAGTGCCAGCTCGTCCTCCGTGACTTTCCATCACAGATCGGGTCCCGTGACACGAGCCTTTTTCCGACCAATCTCGTACGTGAACGTGGCGCGTCTGCCCACCATCGGGATCTCGCGTACGTGCGCCGCATTTCAGCACTCGGCGCGTGCCTCGTGCCCTCTCACTTATGACATTGCACCCCCATTTTACGAGGGTTTTTTTTTTCTCTCAAAAAACTACTATTGTTTTTTCTTCCTGTGATTTCGACCTTCTGTTCTGTCGGTGCAATAACTTGTGGCCTAACGTGCGCAGGTTGATGTGTCAGCTTCCATCGCCGCACGTTTTCTTCGATATTCATTTAGTACAATATCACACTATCAACACACTTTCACCAACATGCACTTCACTCGACTGTTCATACGTTCATCAGTTCCTCATCTAACACGATATGGCTACACTCACAAGAATAACTGCACACAATACTAACCACTCAATATTCCAAACATGTGTACAATTTCGAATAGCGGCACAAAATCTACTATTATAAAGAGCTCAACTCAGCCTAAGGTGATCTATCAAGTCGCTCATAACGTATTCCACAGTCCATAATCTATTTTCCACTAAAGGATTCAGCAATCAAATACAAGAGGCTTAAGTCTCCGCTTCTTCACATTCGCGTCTTTTGAGCTTTTTCCTGCCCCTACTCGCTATCCCCTGTCTCGCATGCTCGCTACAGCTCATCCCACTGTTAATGTTCCGACCACACCTCTTCAACCTTCCTAGGCTGCGTCCTATCCTTCACAACTTTTTCTGCTTCCAAATACAGAAAATCTACTTTAGGCGTTCTCACAGCATTCTTTCCTTTTGTTCTTGTGGGTCGATCAGCAACCTTTCTTGGGTCCTGGTAAATGCCTCGACTTTTCAGTACCTTTCGAGCTGTCCGCATTCCTTTTAATTTTTGAGTTTCACCACAAGCTTCCGAGACATTCATCATACTGCTTTCTAGTGTTTTGTCTCGCATAAAGGCGTGCTTTTTTCAATATCCAGCAACAAAGCATTATTCCCAACCTCTTTGTTGTCTGTAGGCGTCGCTTTCTCTCTCTCCGTGACCTCTTCAACAACAATGGCATCTGTTGCCTAGCTACTACTATCGCCAACGTTTGGGCTCTTTCCCTTCCGCTTTCCACTTAGAAGGTTCGTCTCCTTAGCACAACCGACGTGCTCTCTACCCTTTTGCTCACTGGCAATGGAACTCTGAAAATCGGGCACACTGAATTCTCCCGATGAAACCTCTATACGACTTTTCTCATCCCTCTAGTGCCCCTTTTGGCTAGTGACAGCTGCTGTTTGTACTCAAGCTCCTGTTTTTCTCGAGCATAAGCTTCGAGCGTTAACGTATGTTTTACTTCAAGTTCAGCGAGTCTTGCCTCTAACTCCTATTTAAGCCATTCTCTCTCCTGTTAAATGAACTTTATGCTCTCGTCCTTATCGAGCTTTCTCTCCCTAATAGCTCTTAATATCTTCTCCCAATTCATCCTTGCAACCCCCGACGATTAAGTCACTGGGCCAGAAAAGGGAAATTTTTTAGCTGGTTCGCCAATTCATGTCACGAATTTATCTCGGAAATGCTTGCAGTGGATGGAGTTGGGAGAGAGACGCGGGTTGGCGGAAACATGACAAACCCATTTTAATATTAAACAAAATGGCAAACAGAAATCTGACACTCGGAATTCACTCCCCCCCCCCCCCCCCCAAAAAAAAACAGCCTTATGAGATCGACAGATACCTTACGGGCTTCTTTGCCAACACCAGGGTGTCTACCAATTTGACTTTTCCAAATTCCCTGACTTTTCCATGTTTTCCAAGATGATTAAAAGCAAATTGCATGACCATTGCATCTGCTTGGAAAACTCTGTACACAGTAAACAAGCCCTTGAGTAACAAAAAAATCAGGCGCTCATATAAATCAAGTAAACATATTTACCACATGAGCTCGAAATGTACTCAGCACGTGCGGTGAATATGAAAAAATATTAATATCTGGGCAAAATAAAACCTTTGAGACAGGAAGTGAGCAAGCTGGCTGTTTAATGTTTCAAAACACCAGTAAGCAAACACACGAGTTGAAAGTAACTGCAGCTTAAAATCTGAAGGAGCCTGTGATCATGCAGCAACGCAACCAAAGCTGCTAGGAAACCTGAGACCTGGCCCCACATGCGCATTGCGTCTCAGTGCATGGCTTTTTGAAGCCGTGCTGCACCCTCTCCTTGTACAGAGAAAGACAGCAGGTGGCTAAGCGAAACTACGCTCCCCTCTTCCTTCACTGGGAGAAGACGCAGCTCCGCATCGATCAACGCGTGGAGTTTAACATCCCAGAACTACCATACGATTATGAAAGACGCCGTAGTGGAGGGCTCCAGACATATCAACCACCTGGGGCTCTTCAACGTACACCCATTGATTGATATGTGGAGTTTAATGTCCCAAAACCACCATATGATTATGAGAGACACCGTAGCAGAGGGCTCCGGAAATTTCGACCACCTGGGGTTCTTTAACGTGCACCCCTAATACCGTAATATGAGCACACAGGCCTACAAGATTTCCGCCTCCATCAGAAATGCAGCCGCCGCAGCCGGAACTCGATCGCGCGACCGGCGGGTCAGCAGCCAAAGGAGGAGGAAACAGCTTTAATGACGCCAAAAATGGGTCAGCTGAGGGAGGGCGATAGGGTCAAGGAACAAGAAGACGATGAGCCCTCAGGCCGCTCTAGGTTGTCGAAAGTCCGTGCGCTTCGGCGACCCCTATGCCCCAGCGTACGATCCGGAGTCGGTCGTCCGATCGTGAGCTGCGCAGAGCAGCCTCCCATCGCTCCTGTTGCTCAGCCCCCGCAAAAGGGGGATTCGGCTTGTTTGGACAAGTTCTATATGTATGATGAAAGTTGATTCGCGGTCTCGAGCAGAGACCAGAATGAGGTAAGGTGTGATGCGGGTGAATTTTAGAATACATGAAGGCGGAAATCAAGGTGCCCGTTTGGAGTCAGTGCCAAACGATTTGCTCAGCCTGGGACAGTGATTTATGGGCTGGTGGGTAGACCATGTGGGAATTACAGTAATGTAAAGTAATCTCATGGTAGGTGAAAAGGCACTCTCGCGCACTGTGAAAGGAAGGCACACCGTCCACTGCTCGGTTGACGAGTGCTCGGGCTTGCTCATAGACGGCTGTATTCCCAGGATGTCCACAATGCGCGGGAACTCACAAAATGGTGATTATTCCTTGAGGGGGAAAAATTGTAAAATACGGTAGCCGGGTGCATGAATTCGACGCATAGCAAAATTACGAATGGCCTTTTTTGAGTCTGAGAAGATATACTCCGCCTGGGTGTGAGCAGTTGCTAACGCAATCGCTGCTTCTTCCACCTCGACTGGTTGAGTCACTCGGTCGAAAGAGGCGCTACAAAGAAATTTCTGGGCACTGTCCAATACCGTCACCCCAGAGGCTGGACAATTGGAGTATTCTGCGGCGTCGAAATAAGCGACCGGAGTCGAAGATGCGTAGAGCTTATGAAGCCATCTAGCCCTGGCTATCTGCTAGTTGTGATTATGGATGGGTTGGGTACTTTTAGGCAATGACGGTATTAAGAGACTGTCGCTAATGCGTTCTGGAGGTGCTTTTGTGGAGGTGGTGCATTTTGTGAGGTTGATTTTGAGGTGCTGAAGGAGCAGCCTTCCTGTTTCGTTTGCAAAAGACGGGCGTTGTGGCTGATGAGGTGCGCTTCCATTAGTTCATCAATTGTGTAATGCACCCCCAACTGGAGAAGATTGCTCGTAGAGGTGCTCTTAGGCAGGTGCAAAGCAGTTTTATATGCTGTGTGAATGAGACGATCTATCTGATCCCTCTCTAGAGATGAAAGGGGCAGGTCAAGGAGAGAAATAGTAATTTTACAAAGGCAGAATGTTTGGACCAGACGGCGCGTGTCCACTTCACGCATGCCACTGTGGCGATTAGAAATGCTCTTTATGAGGGCGAATATATTCTGCACCGAGCGCCGTATAGTACTTATGGCTA